ACCCTCACTCTCTCTTTTTTTTTCTCTCTCTCCCTCTCTTGCTCTCTCTCTCTCTCTCTCCGCTCTCTCCCCCTTGATCTCTCCGGCGGTTCGTGTCGCCAGTCAGCTGCACGCGGGGCTGAAACTCTAAAACCCAAGAGCCCTAAAACCCTCTGTGACGACCGGCCCTCCGCAGCCCCAATTGAACAGTGCCCCTAAACCTGAAGGCCCCAAACCCTAAACCCAAACCACATACCCCATACCCTAAACCCCGAACCCTAAACTCTACCGGCCTTCCAGTCCGTTCAACTCCGGCCGTGCTTGGAGGCCTTTCACCCGCACGGGTAGGCCGATTCGCAACTCTTCCTGCAAGGCAGGGGCAGTTGGTTTAGGGTTTTTAGGGGTGTAGGGTGTAGAGACTTTATAGTATACAGGGTTTGGGGCTTGTAGTATACCAGGGTTGAGGGATTGGTATGGAGGGGTTTGTTTAGGGCTCGAGGTCTTAGGGCTAGGAGTCTGTTTGTTGCTTGGGGTTTAGGAGATGTCGGGCGTAGTCGGTTCAAGAGAAGCCATACAAGCGCCGGGCGCCTCCAGGGTGAGGAGAGGGAGGGATTAGGGTTTTAGGGTTTTAGGGTTTAGGGTTTAGGGTTTTAGGGTTTTCGGGTTTTAGGGTTTTCGGGTTTTAGGGTTTCGGGTTTAGGAGTTAAGGCGAACAGGCTTAGGATCGATCTCTTGTGTGAAGACCTTGAAGCCTGGAACTCCCCAGCTTGATGGCCTAAACCCGAAACCCCAAACAAAAGACCCCCCAAATCCGAACTTGGGTGCGCTCTGCTTTCGAGCCCCAGTTCTTAAGTGTAATGGATCCGGTATAAACACAACAGCAAACGATGTATATCTACATATGTACATGTATACGTATAGACATGTAAAACTTATATATTTTGCATACAACCTTCCCTCTCTCGTGCCTGCTGTGGCTTGGCCTCCTCCCCTGCGTCCGCACGAGTGGAGTGGACCTCCTGTGCCTGCTCCGACTTCGACGAAGGCCACTTGACTTCTCTACTTCTTGGGAGGCTGAGTACCCTGGCCCAAAAAGGGGAACCGTTGATATATAGTAGGATTCACCAAAAAGGCTAACGGCTAGCCACTCAGTCCCTAAGACTTTACAGGGCTGAGAACTTCCGTTTGGGGCTTCAGGGGCCTCCAGGCTCAAGGCGGAAGGGCATTGCTTACTCTGCGTTCGAATTGACATCCCGAAGTCAGGTTTAAAAAAACTTACCTGTGCAATTCATGTCCTCACTCTCACTTACCACCCCCCCCCCCCCCCCCCGCGACCCCTTAATTACCCCATTCTGAAACGAGAACACCACGCTCATTGTCATTATCCCCTACATAAGCTGGCTGAGAGCCATTCGTTTCTGCAGGCCGATAAGCCTCCAAAACGCTCTGCTCCGCAGGCAGAGTTCTACGTGCAACAGCGAAGCCCCAAGATCTCAGAGGCCCCCGTGCGACCCTGGACCAGCCTCACCAACCCTAAACCCTAAAACTGTCAAACCATGGGTGGTGGGCCTTCTTCTGAAAGTCCGCGAAGGTCTTGAAGGAAGGCATGGTTACAAAATGGATGTGAGAACTTCTTCCCAAGATCTGTCCACAGCCCAAGGCTGCATACCCCTTCCTGTGCTTCCTCTGTGAAGGCTACCCCTTGTTCATACTATCTTGGGGTATAGTAGGGGTTGCTACTTTGGGAAGTGCCCAAATGTCAAAACAAAAAGCCTCGTAAGCCTAGAGGCTTCCTGCGGCGAGCTTTCTACCCCGAGCCTCTTTAGAACATATTCAACAGCTGCCTCTCTTGAGCCTGGGGGCGCCTAGGTCTCAGCAGCTTGGGCCAAGTCAAAAAAGCGCAGGCGCGCGAGAAAGCTGGGCGGCAGTTTCATGGGTTCCGGTGCTTGGGGGATTTAAGGGCTTCAGGGCTTGGAGGTCTTTTAGGGTTTTTTGATAGGGCCTACCAGTGTGGGGTGTCGAGTGCTTCAGGGAAACCTGACCCCGACAGTTCGCAGGGCCTAGTGCAAGGTGTAGGATTTACTCTTACACCCAAAACTCACAGACCTGCACTCCCAAGCCATGCTTGCCGGGCGTCGAGATCGTCCTTGGCTGCTCAACACAACCGTGCTTCTTCGCAAAGGCCGCAGCCAGCACGAGCAACAAGGAGAATCGCAACGCCATACTCATGTTCTACCAGTAGACCTGCGATGACTAATCAAGTCAAACATGATCAACGCAACGGTAGCCTATGATAATCAGAAATGTCAACAACATAAACATGATAACTGGAATTACTTGGGTTGTTCCCCCTTATAGTAAGAGTCCTAAATAGGGAAGATAATAGGGGTGGGGGTACTATAACCCTAACCCTAAACCCTAAACCCTGAACCCCTGATCTTCTGACCAAGTGGCAGCCACCGGGCCCCACCCGGGAACAGTGGGAAGCGTGCGTCTTTGAAGGCGCTGGGCACCCACAGCTGCCCTGAGCTCACAAGCAAGTCCCTTGGACCCATGGACCCAGGGTTTAGGGTTTAGGGTTTGGGGTTTAGGGTTTAGGGTTTGGGGTTTAGGGTTTAGGGTTTGGGGTTTCATCAACCTCGAAAGGAAGCAATCCCCCCAAGGAAGGCCCATGGACTCTGTTGATTCGGCTTGGGGTGGTCTTTGCTTCTGTCGACTTGCCGCTGTCGAAGCTCGGGCGTGGGATGGGTTGAGGTTGAAACTTGTACTATATATGTTGCGAAGGGTGGGTACATCACGAGGCGGAGTCTCCAACCTGCAAAGACAGAAGTTGCCAAGACACAAATCTTGACTTCCGGATGTCTGGATGGAGGAAGACGGGAGAAGGAGAGAGGGAGAGAGAGGAGAGAGGGAGAGGGGGAGAGAGAAAGCGGATTTAGAGAGACTCCCTGCACTGCTCGAACCAGGCCCAGTCCTGAAAAAGAGTTGCCCGACAAACCATCGCCGTGCGGCAGTATTGAGTCTGTGCGATGTCGTCTCGGAAAACCTGGGCAATCTGTCCAAAGTTGCTGAAAGTTTGAACTTGAATCGGACATGCCAAGCACCAAGCTACAGGTTCACTTGGTGAGGCTTTGGAGTCGTCAGCTGACGCTCCCTGGCTGAGCAGAGGTTTTTCCAGGTTTGGGATTGTGTGGTTCAGGTTAAGGCTCGAAGCTTACGCGGCCGATTGTCAAGCCCCTACTTCTCCCTTTTCCGCCCTTGACCGTTCACCCTGTCTACGGCAAGCCAGGAAGCGATCTGAGACTCAAACCCTAAACGCCCTAAACCCTATGCCCCAAACCCTAAACCACCACCCAGACAGGCATGCAATCATGCAGGCAAGCGGGAAGAAAACAGACCTACAAACAAAGCGGGTGGGGGGGGGGGGGGGGGGCTACAGCGTACGTTTCTGAAGCCCTAAACCCTTTTGCCCCAGGTCTCTCTGACCTGCGCATCCCATTCCCTAAACCATAAACCCTAATTCAACCCTAAACCCTAAACCCTAAACCCTAAACCCTAAACCCTAAACCCTAAACCACACCAGCTGGGCTTTCTGGCAGCTCCAGGACTCTGCAGGCGGAGCTGGTTCCAAATGCCCAGGCCCATGGTGAAGTTGGGGGAGATGCCTCAGAGGGCTTCTGATGCATCAGAGTTAGGATTTAGGGATTAGGGTTTAGGATTTTCAGGTTTAGGGACTCAGGTTTCGGGTTTAGGGTTTAGGATTCTGGGCTGATGTTCTGTTCAAGAAGCTCTCCGCACCTTGCACCTTGCACCTCTCCATTCCTCATCGATTAAAACTCTCGTGGAAGTGAATTCCTGAAGGAAACACAGGTACAGAAACGCTCCAGGCGCTGCACCCCATGAGTCTGGGCTGGCAGCCCTCAACCCTCAAACCCCCAAGCATCAACGGGTTCGCATGGGCTGTCTAGGATAAATGCCCCCCCGTGTGGATGCAGCAGCTTCTACAGCTGTGCGCATAGGCTTCTCTTTCGCGGGCCCTAGTCATAGTCCTTGAAGACCAATGCGCCCTGAGACCCTCGGTCCATTATAGCCGAAACCACGTATAGCTACTCGACGCAGGCACCAACAAAAAAGAGATCCTTCTTTCCGCGCCCGCACAAGGAGTCGACAGTGAAGTGCATGCACATTGGCATGCTTCCAAAACACGGTCTGCTCGGGCGTGCTCTGCTCAAACACACCCTGATCATTACTTAGCTGACAAGTCTTCAGCTGAGTTCGGTTAGGTTTGGGATGCCGGTTCCTTATCTCTTCGGCCCTCCAGGGACGAATGTCGTGCAGCTTTGTGCCAAGATCCCGCCCCAGGGACATCTTACATGTCGGAGACACAGGACGGGCCTCCACTAAAACCGACCTGACCATGTGTACCTGCGGGCTTGGTTACGCGTTACCCCTTGACTGAGAGACTTGGCATGTGCCCGAAACCAAGTGGAGAAGAGCCCTCATTTGGGCGCCGACCTGCAAAAAGTTGTTATATGCGCATGGGAGGCCCACATCGTGGCCTCCATCTTCTACAGCACAAAGACTTGTGGCCGACAAGAACAATCAACGGCGTAGAAGGTTTAGGCTTTGAGTCGTGCATTGTGACAGCGTGCGCCGCCTTCTACCCAGGCTTTGGCTCCCGGAAGTCAAGATGGTCTACAGCCCACGCTTCAGCTGGACAGCTCGTCTTTGCATGTGTTACAAGCCTCCCACCTATACCGTCCTTGACCACAAGAATCCTGATTCTGAACACGACTCCAAAGTTCACAGGCATATCGCAGCCCGCTGAAAAACATGGAGCAGGCCTAACATCTTCGCAGCCGGTTCCGGCTCGTGGCGTCGCAACGAAGTGACTTGTTCAGGCAACCCCAAATATATCTGAGGAACTGTCGAGCCCTAACCTCTAAAGCCTTCAAACCCTAAACCCTAACTTTAACTAGGGGCCCTTTAAAGCGGACATCGGTGCCAAGAGCCGGACTCTCTCAGACCTCCGGGAGCAGGACGTTGCCGTCCGCGGCGGGGACGCTCAAATCTTCCCCAAGGTGTTTGTCGCTCCTCAGTGGTGGACCCAAGCCCTAAACCCTACACCCTAAACCTAAACCCTAAACCCTAAACCCTAAACGCTACGCTCTTCATGCCCTCAACCCGAACGGAGGACTGCAAGGGTTCAAGGGTATCTCGGGCATTTGGAACCTCAACTCTCACAGCAGGCAAGGTTGATGGGTCACAGGATATAAGCCCTAAGCATTTTCAGTTCTCTGCAACCGCAGGAGCTGGCCCGTCGCGCTGACACGGTGCCGGGCATTCGGCCAGTTGTCGGGATTCCAGTCGCCAAAGGCTGTCTTGCACGCCGCCTCCAAGTTCATGCCGGAGGCAGTAGCTGCCATAGTTGCACCTGCAAAAACACACAAGATGTAAACCAGAAACAACTACTACTCCGTGTATACGTATGTATATATATATATGTATATGTGTGTGTGTATATGTAGATCACAGAAAGTATCTCACATATTAGATTGTGGCCTGATGGCTTTGGTTTGGCTCTCATTGACAGGGTGATTCAAGGGGGGCATGTACCCCAAGGTTCCCTAACACTCCCCACTAATTACTCCCTAAGCTCCCTAAGCTTCCCTAGGTACCTACCCCGCATGAACCTCCCCTAAACCCCAAACCTACACCCTAAACATACCCTCCCTTTTTCCTACTAACTCCGGCCTGAAATGCCCGCAATGGACGCAACGCAGTTCGCGTCGTTGTCGGTTCGGCCCACGATGTTTATGCAGGACGAGCTCACCAAGGAGAAGAATCGGATGGCCAGGCTCAAGGTAGCAAGGATACCAGTGATGTCAATCGCACAGATGCGCCCTTGCTGCCCCTCCGAGACTACATCCGGAGCACAATGGATGGTGCTGTCGGCCAGAATGATGGCCATGCGCATGACGAAAGTTGCACCGAAGGCAACCTGCGCGACACATCGGTTGATTGCGCCGTAGACGGTGTCAGCTGATAGCGCAGGGGGGGCCGGCAGCTTGTCTACATCGAAGCCTGCTTTGATGAGCCAGTTGTTCACACTTCGTGCGGCCTGGTCCTTGGCCTTTGTTATCTTCGCCTCCTTGTTGGCAACCATGGCGTTTTTCTTCTCTTCAGGCGTATTCTTTGCCTGCTTCGCGCCCTTGGCGCAGATAAGGTCTGTGGAGAGCGTGCACAGCATGAGCGTGGAGATGCCACCTGGCAAAGGGATGCATAAGGGTTCTATCAAGAGCGTGGGACAAGTCCGGTCGGACAACAGGAGCACTAAGCAGCACACCGAAAACCCAAGCCCTAAACCCCTGGGCACCGGTAAATGCTCCGATGTTGGCCACACAGTTCGACGGGACGTTCAGTGCACCGGAACAAGTGGAGACGGAGGATGCGGTCACCTGGGATTGTGTTGGGGGACTTCATGAACTTCGGGGTTGACCGTTTGGGGGCTTCAATTCGGTTGCCACAGCATGGAGATGTTGTAAGTATATCATAACGTGGTTTCCTCGTGCTGGGTACCTATGTGATGTGTTCAACTTTGATTCTGGCAGCCAAGCTTAATCTAGGATGGCCCTTAGCACCCTCTGAAAAATATTCCTGCGTATGAGCCTCCTAAACCCAATAAGGGAAAGTATAACATCTCCCAAAGGCCTACCGAGGAATTCCTTAACAGCGACCCAGTCACTCCCATGCCCAGCTCGAGGGACCTGATCGCGCCAGCTTTGGGGGGTTTGAGGCGACTCTGCCTCCTTTTGCCCCATAGACCCTTTTGTTTTGCGGTAGGCTTCGGAGGTTGCCCTGCAACCCTAAACCCTAAACCCGAAATAGGGACCATGAAATTGAAAGGTCTGGAGGTTCGGAGGAGCCCGAATCTTACCCCGCAGGAGCCTACCTCCCCAGCCGGTGCAAAGCCCGACCCTGTACCGGCTGGGGTTTAGGGTTCAGGGTTCAGGGTTTGGTTCCCACCCGTTTCGCATGCGTTTTCGGTGAATAGCTCAGATTGTACCATAGCCCGAGTTCTGTTTAGGGTTTAGGGTTCAGGGTAGACCCAAGAGTAAGCTAAGAACAAACAGGGTACCTTTTTTGGTTTGAAGGGGCTTATCAGGGAACCCTAGGAATAAGGGCCTACTGTGGGTCCTAGCCTGGTATTTAGCTGGGCCGACGCAGTGGACTGTAGGATTTTTGGTGGGTTGCCGCGTTGCGACATAGGAGTGTGGAAAATTTGGGGTCCCAAGTCTACAGAGGTGATTTGCTTGAATGTGAGATCCTAAGTTCAGGTTGTTTAGAGGGTATTAATTTGCCTGCCTGGGGGGCTGAGGGGTGTTGAAGCACTTGGGCAGCTAATCCTAGATTTCGGATCGCACCTGATGGCACGCGTTTGTCGATTGCAGAAGCGGGTAGGACCCAGCATTTTAGAGCCCCCTGAATTGTTCAAGGCACAACATGATACCGAAGATTCCGGTAGTACAGCGCTCCCGCTCGTCGTTCCTCACCTGTCACACTTGAGCAGTACGTGGCTTAGGCATGAGGGTAGGGTTTTCCTCCTTAGAAGATTCTTGCTTAAGGTTCGGGCTTTCATGCTGACTTGCCATTTAGAACCACCCCACTCCCCCCCCCCCCCCCCCCCCCCCCCAATAAAATAACAAGAAAACCAACCCTCGGACTTGAAAGAAACAAGGCATCCGTGAGGCCAAGCCCTCAACTACCCCAAGCCTGGCTTGCTTTTACCTCTCACTTGTCTGAAGCCTCTGCCCACTTGAAGCAGTGCCTTAAATGGACTTCGACAATGCCGCTGCAATGTCGACATGCTACATGATCGTTGTTCAGGTTGGTGGACTTATAGGGTAGGGTATAGTGCCTATTTCAGGTTATTGGGCTCCGGAAACCTGTGCTGAACCCCCTGCAACCCCAAACCTGCCTCACGCTTGTTTACGCGCCGGATCCGGTCGTAGTCGCAGGCCACTGTGCTGAACTTGACGAAGGAACCGAAGGTCATTATCCACCCAGTTGCCTCTCAAGGCAAAAAAAGAGAGTTTTGGATGAATGATCTTGCAGCTCCTGCGCGGAGCAATCGGACCGGCGATGATCTCGGCTTGTTGTGACTAGCAGGTTTGGTTCTCAAGCGGTATAGAAGTATCGTTCATCCGATAGGGCATCCGATGGAGCATCAATGGGCCGGCGCTGCGGAGTCCGAAACACACACCCATACACATGTTCAGGACAGTGCGTTCTGGTGTCTTGATGCCCCATTGGGGTTTCAAGCTGAGCCTCTGATGGAAGCTTCGAGCACGAAATTCCTGAACTTCTAACGTCCTGTCGCAACCACGCAAGCCCTCGCCCACACATCGCCCCCCCGGCCCTACATGTGTCGGGCCTTGTGCCTACACCCTACACCCTGCACCCTAAACCCATGGTTTGGGGACTTTCAAGGCCGTGCCCTTGCCTGCGTCACATCAATCACGCAGAGGACCTTGCCAGCCTCCAGTTGTGGTTTCTTCATGTCTGAAGCATTGCCACAGCTCACGCGGGTCTTCATGAGGGTTCCTTTTGCGTGGGCACTTCTTGTTTCGGGGGAAAAGGGCATCTTATTTTGAAGCTTGCGCCTATGCTCTGCAAAAGGACAACTTCCTCATGGGTTTAGAAGACCCCACACCGATATTCTCCTCCCCTTAATGCCAAACCTCCCAAATATTAAATACTCCGATTATACTGCTATTAAAGTATATGAGGAGTCTTCAAGATCAGGGAGGGGAGTGGGCCTTCATATTCGGGAGGGGATTGTTCTGCATGCCTCCGAGCTGATGTGGGCCAGGCCAACGGTTGGCAGCGCCTTCAATGCAAAGCTTCGACAGCGACGACAGAAGAATTCACCAACTAACAAACATGGGTTTAGGGTTTAGGGTTTAGGGTTGTAAGCAGGTACTTATGTGACGTAGTGCTGACTCTACGATGACAGAACTCCCCCTAAGTCAAAAAGGCAAATATTCTAAGCACATCTGGCTAAGAATCATGGGAGGGTCAGCGATATGCTTGAAATCATTTTTTCAATGGTCCGGCAGGCATGTTTGGAGAATCATGAAAAACAACTGCTGGCATAGCCGGTGATCCAGATGAGCTTTGGCATTCGAAGTGAAACCTAGCAGCCATGTTTTTTTTTGCAGAGTTATATAATTTACATCATCATTTGCAGCCCTAACTCTAGGATATTTACTTAAACGGCCCTTGGCAATACACGTAACATAATTAAAGTCATAGAACTGATCTCTAGCTATGTTAACAAACATAGTGAACCAGTATACTCAAGCATCTGTTTACATACCATTAAACGAAAGCAAACGACAATTAAGTTGACGTAGAGGTCATGTGTACTATCAGCTGCATACATTAATAACGAGGTGGGAAATTTTGAAACCCCTCTTGATTGTGGTCGAAAGCCGGGGGACTGCAAGTCGCCACTTATGTGCCCCAAACTGAAAACTCACCGATGCAACAGATTTGGATTGGGAGAATCGAATGTAACGAAGGCTTGCTTTGGAAAAAAGAAGACCTCGCTTACAAAACTATGTATCCAATCTGCATATTCATCTGAAGCCTAAGTACTCTATGCTTCGTAGCTGAGTGGCCTTTCATATATGAGCAATTTGTGTGAGTCACATTAATGACCTCCTATCATGTTCAACACATTCGCAAAGGTTATTTCTGTGTAATTCGGTGACAATATCACATATATCATCAAAATCAAAGGCCGTTTGTTACTGTTATAAACAAATCAACTAACAGAATTCGCCCCTACAATACAGAAACAACTAGACCGACTATAGACCACGCTTTGTGGTCAAGCTTTTGTCTTCAAATTCCTGCTTCTTCTCCAAATATGTGCACTAGTTCGAAAAGGAGGTATTGAAGAGAATCTACTATGATTAAGCGCTTACAAAGCTTGGCATGGCTGACCCGCTTTCTTATTCTAGACTGCGACGAAGCAGCCTAGATGCTACGGGTAAACCAACAAAGCAAACAACATTGACCCTTTTGCATGTACTGGGGGTGTTCAAGGGCCGCTGAAACGCAGTTGCCGACACATTTTCGTTTTGACTTTGTTTTGTAAAGCTTGTTTTTGGTTTGGCTTTGCTGTATTGGTTTTGATTCTTCCTTGAAAACGCTGGTGAACACCTACACCGATCGAGGGAACTGGTTGCGTCTGCTTCTGCTTGACAGAGAAGACTTGCGTTCTTGCACAAAGACAAACTTCTGTCTTCGCGTGGCCAACACAAGCGCTGCTTTCGGAGCAAAGCGAACATATCGCTCCTGGGGTCCCTTGAAGGCCTTGAAGGGCCTAGGTGAGTGATTGCCACCAAGCTTTGCGACCCCAGGACCACCCCCAACCCGTGACAGCACCTTACTGAACCTGTGCAATCCAAACACTCACAACTGCCAGGGTTTAGGGTTTAGGGTTTAGGATTTAGGCTTTGGGGTTTAGGGTTTACCCTCTTTCTTGATCTCCGAATACAATACATGGACCTGCCTCCCAGAGCTCAGAACACTAGATCCCTGATCCCTGTAAAAACAGGTACAGAAGAGCCGACTCAGACTCAACCTCGACCACCCAGGCCGCCAATGAAGACCCTGAAGCGCCCACCAGCAACCCTGAATCATCGCCCAAAACCCTAGATCCTAGACCCTAAACCCGAAACTGTGAAACCCTGAACCCTAACCTCTATAGACCCTAAACCCTAAACCCTCCCAAAAGCCTCCGAGGCGGTGAGCTCAGCGCGCAGCGCTTGCCACGCCGTTGGCGCCACGCCTCGTGGGTTGGCTCAAAGACGGGATGGCTAAACCCTAAACCCTAAACCCTAAACCCGAAGCCCTAAACCCTAAACCCTAAACCCTAAACCCTAAACCCTAAACCCTAAACCCTAAACCCTAAACCCTAAACCCTAAACCCCAAGCGAGAGGGGTAGGTTTGCCAACCCTCAAACCCCAACATGGACCTGGAGGGGGGGGGGGGGGGGGCTGTTTGCAGGCCTTTTTTCCTGAGAGTCAAGGAGCTTTTGGCTCTCAAGCGCCTGCCTAAACCCTATCCCCAAACCCCAAACCCTAAACCCAGATCTGCACTCATGCCTGGGTTGTGAGGAGCCTGGGCCTTATTAGTGTCGGGTGCCAGATTGCTGCTCAGTGGATAGAGACCTCTGAAAGCCTTATGGTTGAGCTTCGGGATGCTGCGCCTGCAAGTCTTGTGAGGCGCCCCAGTTGTTCTTCGAAGGACATCAGCCCATTCTCTGACACAGCTGTTCACGGTGTAAGCAAGTGGACACGTGGGTTTGGGGCCCTTCCCCTTGTGCTTCCAGGGCCTTGCACGAAGCGCAGCGAGCCATGTTCGAAGGCGATGGCCCTTTCAGGGTCCATGGGTGTCGAGTGCCAGGGAGGCTAAGGGCATGGTCACATGCCTCCTCAGTGCTAGAGGTTCTTGTGAACAGTTTTCCAGGAAAGCAGCGGAATAGATACCAGCGGTCTCTTCTCGAATCCTACATAACTGTACCACCCACAACATCCACAGCCGGGGCTCATGACCCTCATGCCTCTCGAACTCTACAGAATTCTACCATCCGCAACCTTCTGGGGCTCATATGACCCTCATGCCCTTGTTCCCAAACCCTCTTTCGCCCGCCCGGCCAAGGGGACACGACAAGGGCCACCAGGATGAGTGCCGCAGCACCGGCGAAGCGGCGGGCCGCGAGCGGGAGGATGCGCCTTGGCACCTCGAAAGGGGGGGGAGGGGGGATTCTTATATCTACATATTGCAAATTACCTACTGTACTCTGAAATATTCGCCTATTGCAGTTCCATTATATTTCTATGTTTCTTTATATTAACATAAGTATTTCGTATTACAATGCCATTTATCGGTTTCTGTTGCCACCCGGGTGGGGTGGGTATGGGGAGAGAGGGCTTGTCAGGATGGGGGTGTTAAGAAAGTTGGCAGGCCCAGGGGCTTTCTGGCAATTCAGAAACGCGGGTGCCATGACGTGAGTCTATACGGTTTCGTAGCTGAAGCCACTGACCCCACTCAACAGGCGTTGGTTGGGTTGCCCCAAACCCTCTACCCTAAAACCCTAAACCCTAAACCCTAAACCCTAAAACCCTCGGGTGGCAAAGAGTTGGTTGGGTGTCGGCTTGCAGCCGATGTGTATGAGAATCGACCTTAAGGAGGGTCGGGAGCTTGAAAAAGCCCTCAGCACATCTAGACCCACAATTAAAGCAAGGGGTTTAGGGTTTAGGGTTTAGGGTTTAGGGTTTAGGAAATCGCACTTACAGCAAGACCAAAGGGCCGGCCTTTTGTGTAGGGTTTAGGGTTTTGGGCCTCTTCGCTCTCGAGAAGGACCAATCCTATTGGCGCCTATAGACCTTGTCACGTCGTCACACGAAACAAGGAATCACGGGAAGGTAGGATAGCAGGAAGATTCTGGTTTAGGATTACAGGATGATTCCGGTTTAGGATGGTCTTGGGGGCACCCGCGGCTTTTTGAACACCAGCAACCCTTCCACCCATGTGGGGCCTCGGGGGCGGAGAGCTCCCTGTCCACCAAAGCGCTTCTCTCCACACCCTCCTCCTGCGAACCAGGGCCAAACCGCAGGGGACCCAAATTAAGGGCCCATACTTCGGATCCCTTTAAACAAGTGTAAGGGACCATACTTAGGGGCCCATGCGGCCAACATTGACCTACATAAACCCTAGTGAGCTTTATAGGGCCTCTTCCAGGTCTAGGGCTTTAGGGCTGCTTAGGGTCGAGGATGATGTCGCTGTGGTCGACTTACCTGTAACATCAGTGTAAACCCTAAACCCTACCTAAACCCTAAACCCTAAACCCTAAACCCTAAACCCTAAACCCTAAACCCTAAACCCTAAACCCTAAACCCTAAACCACCCTGAACTGTTTGGGGGGGGAAGTTGTGTCCTCAACCTCCATGGCCGCGGCTCTCCCCGGGTGGCCCCAGGTGCTTGAGCGCAGAGGCGCGGCCGACACAGCGCAGGAAATGCCAGGTTTGTTGGGGTTCATTTTAGGGTTTAGGGTTTAGGGTTCAGGGTTCAGGGTTTAGGGTTTAGGGTTTAGGGGTTTCGTGTTCCGGGTGTCTAGGGTCGAGTCTTCGGGGTGATCAGGGTTTGGGGGTGCGAAGTTCTGGGCTTCGCCGGTGGCTTCGGTTCCGTGAGTACACGTGTAGCCTCTCAACTCGAACTGAACCCTGAGGCTCAAGACCCTAAACCCTAAACCCTAAACCCTAAACCCTAAACCCGAAACCAGTCCTCAGGATACGTGTCTCTCAAGGTCCGCCGTTTAGGGTTTGGGGTTGAGGGTCTAGGGTATGTTTTCCCCCCTCACTGGCAAACAAGGAGCACCACACCGCCATGAGGATCATCACCTGGCGACACGAACGCCAACACTAGGGTTTTGGGTACTACTACCCCCCCCCCCCCCCGTTCCCCCTTAAATAGCCTTAATTAAGCTTCAATCCCTAAATAGCCTTAATTTATGGGGGGAACCGAGGGGGGGGGGGGGGGGGGGGGGGTAGTACAAAGGGTAGTAGGGGAACCCATGATAACACCATTCCTCGGAGGATTGCACGGTGCCCGGTGTATCCTACAAGACAAGCATGGGCCCCCTTACTCTAACTTTAGTTAGGGGAGTTATAAGCCAAATGTAGTAATTAAAGCTTATATATATATATATATATAACCCAGTGAAGGGCCCTTATAACCCTACTTGTACCTGGGGGCCTCTAGATGTAGCAACAAAGGGCTGTGCTTCTTTGATTTCAAGGGCCTTGAAGAAGGAATCCCAGCTCAATGACATCGAGCGGGAAGCAGGCTACTGCTGGGCAACAGAGGGTGGTTGTGCTTTCGCACCTGCCTAGCCGGCTCATCCTGGGTTTCTTGGCACTCGCCCCCAAAGCTTAGGGGGTAGATCAGTTTAGGATCACAAGGCTCGCACAGCCGTCAGCCAGTTTTAATCCGTCAAGCACTTCGAGCCTTAAGCGCCGTGCGCCCGTGGTGCATCGTAGTGATTGCTTGGGCATGTGTTTCCAACACTTTGTGCTTGCTTTATCTCTTCCTCTGCGCTTGGCTTCATTGATCGTTTTGTGTGCATCTGGGCAGTTTGTGCTGGCTCTTGCTTTGAGAAAGAAGTGCGTCTGCCATGACTTCAGAACCTGCTGGGCGAAGACTCCGGCGAGATCTCCCTGGGACGCCCCTCACATATGCTCCCCCAAAGCTGTATCATCTTAGGAAGCCCCTTTTACAGTACTACACCATGCTACACCACAAACCCGGACCAAGGCTGCACCTTGAACCCATGAGCCGGGGCCTCATTGTAGTGAGAGCTCTGCTCCACATCTTTCGTGGTGAACCTCGGCGGATCTCAGCCTTTCTTGAAATCAAACCCTGCACGCCAAGCCTGTGTTTCTTGTGTGGCTTCGGGCGGCGGGGGTTGGCTGGGGTCTCATCGCTCCTGAGACTCGTCAAGTGTAGATATAAGAAGGGTTTCTTTTGTAGGGCAGACACAAGAAAATCTCACTCGAAAGCTGGGTCCATCGACGCACCCTGAACCGATTTTTTGTTGGCCCATCTCCAAGCGGGATCGCGGGTGCATATAATGATGACCCCCCCAAAACAATATTCGGGTCCCCTATGGCCCTTATATGAGTTATGCTCTGAACTGCCACACTGCGCAGCACCATTCGACATCGGAGAATAGCATCTGTGTGTCAAGCATCTGTGCCCCACCCACGTTTCGCAGTGCATGCCTCGGGGGGGGGGGGGGGAATTCGATACTGAATACCGTGACCAGGCATCCTGAGCCTGGTGGTGGGGTTGCGCTGTCGGTCGTGCCTCCTTGGTTTTGTTCTGGCCTCGACATTTGGGATCATTTGGGTTTCGAGGCGTGCTCTGCTCTGAAGCATAAGCCGGCCTCCCGTACCTCGCACTGGAATGAAGGTGCGGTCAATGTCAATGCTTTCAGGCTGTGGATCCAGGCAAAGGCATCACCAGAATCGAAGTAACACCCCAAAAATGACCTCAGTGTGCCGTCTGTCGATTTTCCAGCATAGGCCACCATACTCAAAAGGGCAAATGCAGCGCAAGGCTCATTGCCTATGCAAGAGTCGCGCCTGCTGTGAGCCATCACCATCAAACCACAATCGCATGCATTCTACAACACGAATACGACACGAAAGTAACCCGTAAAGCCCTTTTGCACCCGGTAAACCCCTAACCCCTAAACCCTAAACCCTAAAAAACGAGAAAAGCGGGGTCCTGCATCTCCAAGACCGAGCCGAGTAGCTTTTTCACATCGTGGCGCCAGGCGTTGATTGCGAGGCCAATGATGAACCTTTGAACCCTAAACCCTAAACAACCCTGAACCCTGAACCCTAAACCCTAAACCCTAAACCCTACTTCGATGGGATTTGACAAGACTCTCCAGACCAACCTTGAAGCACGACTCAAAACAATCCCAAGCTCATGTCCCAACTCCCAGAGCGTTGGGAAAAGAGTTTGAAGGCAGGGGTGTCTGTGTGAGCCTTTGGATGCCAAGATTATTTTAACAGGAGTAGGGGCGGGGGGGGGGGGGGGGAAGTTATGCCACCTGGGCAACTTCACCGCCTCAAGGCTATTCAGCCAGGGCTCACTCGTGATGCGCTGCTCACCAGCCACTTGAGGAACTGGCATGGCTTGAGCGGAGGCTCTCGGAGGTTCAGGTTTGGATGCTGTAAATCCTTACTGGCTTCACAAACAATATACAAGCAAGACATGCCCGTCTATAGCCTCGATTGTATTTGAACCACGATGAAGCTCAACATGCAAATCCCAGAGGGTTTTGCACAATAAAGAACAAAACAGAACTCTTAAAAAAGTAAAGGAGTCATGGGTCTGGGGACTCGGAACCCCGAGAAATCAAGAAGAGGCAACGGCCCTTTTCCGTGTAGCTTGTACAAACCCCTTCCCAAAACCATACACACCTCGCCGCAACCCAAAAAGAAGCTTAATCATGTCTTCTAGCCGGCTTGCATACTTTTTCCACCTAAACCCCAACCCCCCCCCCCTCAGGTAGGGGTGTTGATGATTGATATATTGACAAATAGTGCCGATAAAAAGCAAACAAGAAGGAGACATAGCAAGTGGAATGGTTGAGTGTTTAAACAAGATGGGCAAGAGACCCGCTCTAATTTATGCAGATGATGAAGGCACACTGAACAAGGAGGTAATACAAAAGTATTAGAAGGATGAGAACATGGACGATCATATAGCGAGGGCGCACTCAAATTTTTGTGAAAGAGCCATCCGGACTGTTAAAGATATGTTCTATAGGAGAGTTGAAGCGGATGAGCAAAAAAGGGAAAACAGAACATCCAATGGCCAGACTACATAAAAGAGATTACATAAAAGATGCCCGAAAACTAAGTCATCAATTCAAGGCGAAGTTAAATTTAACGATGAAGGGAAAGAAGAACCGCGTGTAGTCTGATTTAGATTTTGGAGAGGAGGGTAATATATTTAGGAAGCGAAAACCAAATACAAGAGCAAGGGTGAGCAACTGGAAGTAGAGAATATTGAAACAAATTCGGTCAAAATTATTACAGAGTTGAAGGTAATGATGGGCAGTACTTGCGGTTTGAACTGCTGAAGGTTTGAGGGTAAGCGGACCAACAATCACTGGGGCACATCACACTTCCTATGAAAGTCTCCAAAGCAGACGAGTTGACCATCTGCCCGCACTAGCCAGACCTCCTTGAGTTGTACCCAAAACAGACGAGCTGACAATGTGCTCGCACTGCACAAGTATGATAAGTGCGTGCTGAGACTGCCAAAACTGGTCCCAAATCTGCTGGCACGTCACACTGCCCATAATCGTTGTCTCCGAAGCAGACGAGCTGACCATCTGTCCGCACCGCACAAGTATGATAATCGCCTGCTGAGACTGCCACAACTGATCCCAAATCTGCTGGCACGTCACACTGCCCATATTCGTTCTTTCCAAAGCAGACGAGCTGACCATCTGTCCGCACCACACAAATATGATAATCGCCCGCTGAGACTGCCAAAACTGGTCCCAAATCTGCTGGCACGTCACACTGCCCATAATCGTGCTTTCCAAAACAGACGAGCTGACCATCTGTCCGCACTGCAAAAGTATGATAAGTGCGCGCTGAGACCGCCAAAACTGGTCCCAAATCTGCTGGCACGTCACACTGCCCGTAATCGTTGTCTCCAAAGCAGACGAGCTGACCATCTGTCCGCACCGCACAAGTATGATAAGTGCCCGCTGAGACTGCCGAAACTGGTCCTAAATCTGCTGGCAGGTCAAACTGCCCAAAATCGTTGTCTCCGAAGCAGGCGAGCTGACCATCTGTCTGCACCGCACAAGTATGAGAAGTGCCCGCTGAGACTGCCAAAACTGGTCCCAGATCTGCTGGCACGTAACGCTGCCCATAGTAGTTCTTTCCAAAGCAGACGAGCTGACCGTCTGTCCGCACTGCACAAGTATGATAATCGCCCGCTGAGACTGCCCAAATTGGCCCCAAATCTGTGGGCATGGAAAAGTATCCGACCTGTTGAAGCTGTGGCCGCACGAAATGTGACTGACCTAGCGTGGGAACGAACCACGAGGCAGGATGGATTGAAAGAAACGACCGGAATGCGGTCCTTTGGGGTGCAGTCCTTTGTGTCCAGAAGAGCATGCCAAATGCCAGGCCGCTATTCATGGCCATAGAGAGATGGATGCAGGAAGCAATGCTCCAGGAGGGCGCGGTTGACGCTGAAACACGAGAATCGTGAATTGCCAATGAAATATTGTGTAGAAGCCCGCGTGTTCATAGAGAAATTGAGGATTACATGGCCAAAAAAACACATAAATAAACGTATTCCATAATATATATATATATATATATATATATATATTTATACCAACCCACAGAGGAATAGGGGAACTCCATCTTTGAATCCAGAAAGGGCCTTCATCTGCCAGGAGCCTGTCTTGGGCTTGAACTTCAAATCGAAGCCGAACCTGAGCTCAAACGGTTCGTGTGCTTCCTCCCCCCCCCACCACCCAACCAAAGAAAGAGAGACTTTGTACCCTGTTCTCATACATGGTCATGATGTTACGATGAGAAGCCAAAACTCCAAAACCTGGGAACACCAGACCTCGTAACTTGCAAGTTCTACGGCTTAGGGGTTGAGACTTCTATCGGGACTAGCCCGCTGAGCACCAAGAATTGCTTCGCCCAGCTTCAAGTAGGAGGGACTGAGAGAAGCAGTGTGGCAGGGCTCGGGAGCAGGCGCTCGGGATGGCTTGTTCAATTTGAAAGGGAATAGTCGGAGAACAAAAGTATGCTGCTCTGCTTTACTTCTCTAGGTTCGCAGAGCGGTTTTATTCCTGGCCCGGCCGAGCGCTTGGCACGAAGAAGACCACGAGCTGCTTGAGGCCGTTTGTGACCTTTACTGTGTTTCGGGCCGGGTTCGTCGCTTCCGCCCATGATTCTAGGTTCTGCTGGTAAATGGGTCAGGTTTTGAGCACGGCCTCGGCTTTCGAGAGGTGGGTCTGCGGGGTGGTAGGCTCTGGGGACTCCGGGGCCTTTAGGGTCGTAGAGTGGTTGGTGGCTCGAATAACATGCCAAGCTCCCTTTGACAGCCAGAATTTTTGCACCCGATTGATTGGTTGTATCTGGGTTGCTGGGATGCCATTCCTAGGGGCGGTGATAAGGGAGAAGATACGAACTTCCTTCGATGCCCTCGCACCCGCAACAGTAACTTTGGATGGGTGGACTAACTGCATAGGCTCATAGTTCGTAATCCCAACCCTCCACCGCCCTACCCCCGGGACCCGGAAAGCCCTGTGGTCTGTGGCCCGGACGGGCAGCAAGTAGATTGGCTGCATCGTCTCCTAGGTGTCAGGCCGGATGAGATTGTTGAAATGCAGCGTTTCAGGATCGACCTCTCCGATGATTCGAGGGGTCTGTTGGACATTCATGTCCTACGACCGATAATTGGACCCCCCCCCCCCCCCACACCACCTTCCCTAATGTAAACCACGCAGCGCGCGATTGATTGCAGGATACGGTTTTTGTCTATGCCGGTTTGAGCCTGTTCTCTTCCGCTCGCCAACAGGATGTGTCAGTCGCACACTGGCAGATGTCTGCTCCGCCCCTCTCTGCAGGGTGAGTGCATACTGCCGTACGAAATTTAATTAGGTGGAATTCATTTGCTAGATGCGCGTTTGATCCGGACTCAAGCATTACAGAAAGAAAAGAACTCAAGTGGTGTCCAAGGCCCGGACATGTGCTCGTCAACCCTACACATACTGTTTATAAACAACAAGCTCCCTTGCAACTGAGATTTCTCGCAGAAGGAAAGAAAACGAGTAGTCCAACAGCGCAAGCCAAGAACCCAAGGGTAGAGACCTTTGAACACGCCTGAAGCCGACCTACTCCATGCCTTTTGGACATATGAGGTACGAGGTGCTGCATGCAGCACTCCCGAAAAGGGATCCCGCATCGTCGCATGCCTTTGCAGAGTTTCGCATGGCTTGAGCTGTGGGGTTCAGAGGCTCCGCCAGAATCCACCCAGCGCCAAAGCCGTAATGTCACAGCCTAAAACCCCTGATACCAGGATGGGCTATCAAGGCCTTATAAGCCCATAATGAACCCTATAAAGTGCATTTAAAGGGATTATAGGGTAAAAACAAACCCATCCTGATAAGGCGCAAATCCGAGGGCGCAAGCCCTCAGCCCCCAGTTGAAGCCTGGAACGCCGAGCGCAGAAGCTCAAGCCAGGACAGGATCCAACCCCCCCTCCCCAAGAGACCTCAAACCAGAGCCGCCCCTTGAACCCTCATATACGGGTCGGGGCGCCTATCTGAATAGAACACAGAGAAGAATGGGTCTGTTGGGTAGGACAAACCCGAAACCCTGATTTCCCTGAAAACCCTAAAAAACCTAAAAACCCCTGAGCCCTAAACCCTCCTTGAGGGACTATGAGGAGCATCCTCAGCCCTCTTTTTGCGGAAGGGGCGCCTGTAAGGGTTCGCGTTCTCGGGATTTGCGACCGGGGGCATGGTGACCTTAGGATGCCCCAACTGCAGACTTGCAACAAGGGGGTTTCGGGTTTAGGGTTTAGGGGAGGGGGGGGGGGGGAGTTCTGCTGCAGGTTTGGGGACATATATACATATACACATACATATAAACACATATATATATATATATAATATGTATATATATATATATATGTGCATGCATGTTTTTGTTTCGTGCCGCCCGATCTGACTGACCTACTGTATGTCCAATAGCAGGCCCTCCCCAAAAGACCACAGTGTTTGGGCCTTAGGGTGTAGGAGCCAGGGCTGGTTGCTAAGGTCCATTGACTGTCGGGATGTTCTGCCATCAAGACTTTGCAGACGCGCGCTGCCATTTTTAATGGGAAGCTCTAGAGAATCTGCTTGGCAATCTCAGCGGCCGTGGTGTCCGGCACCTTCACATAGGCAGGAGGAGTCCTCAGAGCGACTTCAGAGACCCCGAGGAAGGCCCTCTCAATGCACACGCGCATTGAACATGGTTTGGGGGGGAAGAATGATGTGCCGTTGGCGTCCGCCTTTTTGATACCAGTAGCTCCTTGCTTTGGGGGGGCTTATAGCCTATAGAACAGAAACCTTCATGTTTCATTTGGGAGTTCTGGCTCCCTGCGCCCTTAAAGAAAGCCCTCGAGCCCTCATGAAGCGGCTCTTCAAGACTTCGGTGTATAGGGTGGTGACATTGCGGGCCTTGCGGGTTTGGCGGGTCGCGGGTTCAAAGGGTTTCAGAAGGTGTCTCAGGCGATGGCACGGGGTGGATAGCTCGGAGGCCGATAGAACTGGAGTTCGGCTCGTGCTCAGGCAGGCTTGCTTGGCTTGAGGGCTTAGGCTCACGCACTTGAAGGAAACCCTAAACTCCAAACCCTAAACATCCCTAAACCCTAAACCCTATAAACCCTAAAGGCCCTAAACCCTGAAACCCTAAGGAGAGGGGGCTCCAGGCGTCGAATCTTGCCCCGCCGAGAGTCGAGGGCACCGGAGACTGCCAGGTGAAGCAGCAGCCGAGGTTCAGACCGTCCTCAGATTTCCAGGCAAGGATGGTTTAGAATTAGGGTTGATAGGGTTTAGGGTTGATAGGGTTTAGGGTTTAGGGTTTAGGGTTTTGGGTCTAAGATGTCTTCTCAATCCCTTGTAGACACAAGTAGCTTGGGATCGGCCCCCAAGGAAGTGGAACTATCCTGTGGCCCTACTGAAGCAGGTCCATCACAGTGTAAACCCTAAACCCTAAACCCTAAACCCTTATAAACTTACAGACTGGTGCCTTGGCAAATCCCCCCACCACTAGCTGGAAACAGACACTGGCTCCCATGCGCTTCACATTTTCAGGGACAGCTGCCAGAGTTCCGATTTTCTGCTTCTTTTTCTTCTTCTTCTTCTTCTTCTTCTTCTTACTCCTCTTCGTCTTCTTGATCTGCGCACTTCAGGGCCCGCCTCTTGCACTCTTGTTCCTCTCTCTCTAATTATTTCTGCTTGCTTTCTATCTATCTCTCTTCTATCTTTGTTGATTTCTTTCTGTATTTCTATCCATCTTCTTGTTATCTATTTATTTCTGTTATCGGCAGATATATACCACATACACAAATATGTATATATATATATATACATATACATTCTACGCACTACATTGTAATGATGAGTGACATACATAATGTTATTCATACATCACATACATATAGTCCTGAGGTTTAGGGCAAGTCATTGCCAGCATATAGGACTTGGACCCAGCACGTCCTGAGCAGCCACCATACATGAGGCGTCAAGCTGTAAGGCAAAAGGTGAGTAAGTATTGCACGTATTTACAATCTAACCCCTTACGGGATTATTTGGGGTATCGAATCAACCTTCATAGTTTTTTAAGAGCCAGCCTGATGATGCTTTCCTCTCCCAGCCACCCAACCCCTCTTCGACATGTGGACGAGGCGCCCAGGTCGGACAGCAGTTGCCATTCAGGTTTTCACATCCCGGATTATCCTCGGCTCAGGGCTGAGCATCTTCCACTCAATTTTCAATGTCCTGGTCCTAACCCACGCCCTTTGTTTTTTGAGTCGGACTTGTGTCATTCGAGCGCTAGCCTTGTTTCTTCAGGAGAGCCTAGGGATGAGATTCCAGAAGCACAGCTTTGGGGCCTCGGGGCTCTTGGTCGCTACGGGAGGCCTTCAGTTTCCACAGGACGTGACGTTTCTACTTGTCGTGAAGGTGTTTAGCGGAAGGAGAAGCCCGACGCAGAAAGCGTGGAAGGGTTCGGCCATGTGCAAAGCCACCACCCACGCCCTACAATGCTACGAGCCCCCGAAAGAAGCCCTAAAGCTTGCCGAGAGGCTTTGCAGGCAGGGCCACGTGAAGCTTTGGAAGGTCTGAGCGAGGCGTACTGGGGCTTAGGGCTCAGCGCAGCAGCGTCAGTTGGGGCCTTCTGTGCATGAGGGCCTGCGTCCCGTTGTGCTTCGGGCTTCGAGGTCAAACTGGACCTAGAAAACCCCGGTTGCCCACCAACCGCAGGCCTCAACTCAACCAGCAAAGGCACGGGGTGGTGAGGGGATGGTCTATATAGGTCCTAGGTTTCGAACCCAGGCTTAAAGCGGTGCCTTTGAAAGCTTTGAGGGTGATGCTCGAATACGGTGCCGGAACATGACGGAAACACACCCCGGCCCCTTGGCCCCTTGTGTCATCTTGGCCGCCAAGTTGCAGCCCGTCCACGTAGAGCTCCACAGGCACAGCCTGGGCGGAAACCCTCATGCCGACACGGAAGAGAGGTTTCCCTCAAATAGATTCCCCTGGTTCAATATGGTGGGTAGTACAATACATGGATACATCAAAACACTTCAGGGAATTTATGTCACAAGAAGAACCACAAAACCCACTGCAAAGAAGTGACATCGCCGAACGTCTTGTTGGCCGTCGTCTTCCCGACCTGCAGTCTTGAGCTGGCTAGTTGGCCCTTGAAGCCCTCAGAAGTGTTGCCGTCAGCATCCTCCAAGTAAGGAACGTCTGCAAACAAAAACTAAACCCTAAACCCTAAACCCTAAACCCTAAACCCTAAACCCTAAACCCTTTTGCAACGAGCTTGGCTATGCTCCCGCCCGGCTACCCTCAACCCTTTTTGCAGCAGGCTTGCGTGAGTCCTCGCCTGGATCAGGCTACCGCTCTCCGAGCTGACAGCACTAACTGAAACCATCCTGTGCAGACAAAAATCTAGCTTTTCGACGCTCTGTCTTGGCAGCAACTTTCTCAGCGAAACTGCTAGCGCGAGAAGCGGATGCACTAGAGTTCGCTGAGCAAGGACCGAGAGAGCAGTACCGAGAGTCACCAACCCGGCACCGTTTACTTTCACAGTCCCCATGCGCCAGGGCTCGTGGAAAGGTAGGTGAAGTCGCCGGCACTGGAAGCACTTTCGACTCAATGGCTTCAAGACGCGTCCTCACCTCATTTCTTGCAGCCTCAAGCTCCGAGTCAAGCTGTTGAATGGTAGCCACGTGATTCTTGATTTGAGTCTTGGCCTGCTCCAAGACAACAGCATATTGGGCCCGAATGTCCTTCACAAGGGGCTCACACTGTGCTCGCGTTATCATCTCGAAGTCTGTCTGACATGCCGCAGCTCTGCACGCACCATGGTCGGAAGGAATTCCAGAGCACCCCACTCGCATATCCGGCAAAGCATGGTTCAAGTCGACGACCATGCTACAGTTGATCTGTGGAGTGGTTGAAGAGTCCATCGTCAAAACCTTCGTCAAGGCAGAGTTGATGCATTGTCTAACACCTGTGAGTCCCATTTTCTTCGCATGCCGCTGCGCGTAGCCCAACACGGATACCAGCTTTTGTTTCGGATCTGCCATGGCAATACAAACTCCCTCTTTCTGCTGAACTGTACACAGGCTGTGCCCTTTTGGGCCTCGTAACCAGTATGGCACTTGAGCCGTAGCCATTACCCTCAACCCTAAACCCTAAACCCTAAACCCATGAATCAGGCCTCCTTGTGGATCCCGGATTCAGGCAGGGACTCGGCAGGAGGGTCTGGAACTTTTTTGGGAACCGCGAAGGCTCCCCCCGGTTTAGGGCTTGTAGACTAAGAGGCTTATAGGGCTTAGGGCTTACCAGCACCCCCCCCCCCCCCCCAAACTACCCTTTAACCATAATAGTAGGGTACAGGAGGCCCTTTATTGCAGGGTAGTTGGGGGGTGCAGGTACGGTTTAGAGTTTAGGCTCTACTTTGCCACGTGCGCTGAATCTGACCCCAGGCCGCAGGCCCGAGAACAAAATCTCCGGCCTTCTGGTGGCCAGGCGTGAAGTCAAAGGTGCCATTCTTCGCCTCACAGGTACGGCAGCTGAGCATGACGGGTGTGCCACGACATTCGATGGCTGTCGGTTGGTTCCAAGGGTGGTGGAGGGTTTTGGACTCCGAAGGGGTGCCAAACAAGTGAACGATCAAGCCCAAGCGGCCACTCAACCTCCGCAACCCCGCCCGAAGACCGACTTAGCCCGTAGCCCGGCCTCGCCCCCGCTGCCCAACTTCGCTTCTGCAGCCTGATGCGTGGACTCAGGAGGCCAATCGTTTCGCAACATGTTGGTACCCTAAGCACTCCATAAACCCCGCACCCGGCCCCCCCACCACTAAGCTTGCAGAACGTTTTCCTGTTGAACCCCTACTAAATCCCAGGCGTCCCTAAACCCTATAATCTATAATCCTATTTTTTCCCTGGGAGGTGTGGCGAGAGGGTTCCGCAAGACTCCAGCCCTTTCAGGGTTGCAGGGCTTCTTGTGTGAGGATCCGCAGAGTTCACGGTTTTAGAGCCTTCCGAGCTCTGTTTGGGGGCAACACTTGAGACTTCGCCTCGATACAATCCCCATGAGCTAAGGCAGCCCTGCAAGATGTACCGGCCCTAAACCCAAAGGCTCTGAGCATCAGCTGGGGCCACCAAGCACCCCATCTTGCAGAACCCTGAACCCTAAACAACCGTTGTCCACAGCGACTCCACATGTTAGATGGCACTGAAAACACAGCCCTCAAGAACTGCAAGAGGACAAGCTTTGCAAGGCGATTGACGCCCCACCCCTTCCTTCGAACGTGGTGGTTTCTGTGCAGACATTGCTTGACGCGGCGTTCTTCTCGAACCCTAAGCCCTAACCCTAAACCCGAACCCACCCCGCTTAACAACCCTTGTAAGGACGGACTTCCCCCCTCCTAAAACAAAACAACTGAAGCACAAAAAAACGACCAAAAGCCCGAAGGGATATCGAACCCGGGCTCAAGCAAAGATGGGCTTCCGGGCCCTGTTGACAGTGATGCCATCTTATACACAAAGCACTAGTTGCGTCAATCTGGTAACATATAATTATAGGTAGTACAGCAGCCCCTTTGACTTAAACCTGGCCAAGGCATGCAGATCTTGCCGTTGCCTTCTGTTGTCTTCCTCTCCTTCGTAACGAGACTTTAAACTTTTTGTGATTCCCTAAAGCAAATACTTCCTAAACCCTCCATGCTGCCAGGGACCTCCACTGCCGATCCAAGAGCAGGCAACACTTGCTTGGCCTGAGCTCTGGGCTCTGGGACATCCACACAATTCCTGTCTCACACCGGTGCCAACTCGAAATATCAACTCCCCAATCATAGCCCAATCCTCTAAATTGGCACGGTTTCTTGCACATGTCTTGGAGACCACATATTCTTTGCATCCGCTCCTACACTGGTTCAGTAGGGAGGCAGTCTTCTGTACGATGGGTGGGGGGTGGCTTGACTTGGCTGTTCAGGATACGAAGAGCCATGAGAGGCTAAGTAAGCCATAATCAGCCCCTGATGCCTTCGGCAAGTCAACTCCTGCAGGATGAAGAAGCTAAAGCCTCCGCAAAAACCCACGAGTCAAGCCTTCCCCTTAACCACCGCACGCGGTAATTCTTCAGAGGGGGGGAGAGCGGAAAAGGGGCTGGGGGGAGAAGTAGGGGTCCCAATGGCACATGCCTTAAAAACCCTTAAGCCCTAAACCCTAAACTTAAACCTCAGAAGCTCGTTGAGACGCCAAGAAGCGTTCAGGGCATTGCTGGTCCCGGCGCCGCCGGCACCGGCGCCGCCGGCACCGGCGGGCGGTGCCCGAGGTGGATGGTGCTGCCTTTAGGAGAGAGGCTTCATAAGGGGGTTTACGAAAATAGGGGACCCCCCCCCAAAATATGCACCGCCCAAATAGCAGGATTCCATGGTAATAAGGGCCCAGAATACCAGTACCCCTATTTCCGGAAACCCCCATTTTCCTGTAGGCCTCGAAGGTTAGAGCCAGTTGCGAGGGAGGATCTGAGTTTCAGGGCCGAGGACGGCGTGGGATTCGAAGCCGCCTGTATATTCTGTAAATTCTGCGTATGCTACTTTAAAAAATGATACTACCATATTCGATGAAGGGGCAGCTTTTGGAAGCCCGAGCCCCCCCCCCCCCCCCCCGTAAACGCCGAAGCCCGATTCTGAGGCCGGGCACATGAAGGAGAAGCCAACCTGCGCACCGGCCATGGCCGTTCCGATGGTCAGCATGATGGCCTGGCACGGCCTAAACCCCCATTCCTCTTTTTTGAACCCGCGCTATGCTACTGCCATTCCTCGGATTATGAAATGTCCTCACATTTGGGTTCAGGCTTGCTAGGCTAATGTTCCGAGTTAATAGGCTCACCTCATGGGGATCCGCTTCGCCTGAGCTTACTGTTCGGACACCAGGAATTGCCAAGCTGTCGTACTTGGGACCTTTGGGGAAGAGAGCAAAATTGGCACAGTCAATTTCAATAAACCTAGCCCTGTCAGGACGCAGCGCCGCAAGCATGTCAGGCACAGCTGCTGTTTTGGCCCCGTGGAACAAGACTTGTGCGGACGAAACGCCCCCTCTGCCTATCCTGTGCTTATCATGTTTCAGCCTCGTGCACCTACACGCGAGAGATGTTTTGCTTTCACAACGTAGCTCGACGCGGTTCAGTTCGCTGAGTGCCGCCCGATGCCAGTACTGCACAGATGGCAATGATTAGTCCACGTGGGAACATCTTGAGATTCTTGAGGGTTTTGGAGGGTAAACAGTTTGCAGATCCTACAGGGCTGACCTGCAATGCTGGAGGCTCAAAGTAGCGCAGTGGCCTATCACATTCCCCTACTCTTTCTCTCTCTATATATATATTTTATTTATTTATTCATTTATTTATATACAAGTGCTTCTTGCATTTTTTGCGAACACTCCTCCACCCCCCACTCCCGTACTTGACCGGCGTTTGTCTCTGCATGCATCTGATGATGCAGGGAGGGTTGCACTAGGCAAGAGACACCACGTTAACTACCAGAAGACGCATCATCGTCCTATGACACACAGGTGGCTCATGGCAGCTTGCTTTTCCGCTACACGAGGCAGGGTTGCGCGCACTAGGTCCCAGGTACCATAAGCGCTCTGAATTAGCCAGACTTTAGTCCCTGGAAAAGCACCTTCACCACCCTAAATATTGTCAGTCGAATACTGGCAAAATGCTATAAAGGGCCATGACATCACGTACAGGAACCACGACTGATCTGGCAAGACCAAGAAAGACGCTTTGTTGTGCGTGCTCAGTTTAGAAGACTTGTGACCGGCTCATATGTACGGCGCCGGATTCACAGGCAAGCATTGCAGAGTCACGTTTCCACATCCCCTGCACGCTCAGTACGGGTCGTAACGCTTGCCCTTCCCTTTGCCCTTTGAGCCCTTGCCGGAATCATAGCCACCACCATAGCCACCGCCACCGCCCCCACCACCGCCCTGCAGCGTCACGTTGGTGGCCTTTGTCTTGCCACTTCGCGCATCTTCCTCAATGTCGAAGGTCATCTCCGTACCGACAACCATGTCTTCAGAGCCGCCGTTGGTCAACTGAGAGAAGTGCACGAAAACATCGCCTGAACCGTCGGAGTTCTCGATGAAGCCGAAGCCCTTGCCATCCATAAACTTCTTCAGGGTTCCTGTGTACGCCATGGCTGGGGTGCGGCGCGGTCCTTTACGGGTAGCTGGCAACTAGGCTTGAAAGGCAAGTCTTTTCTCGGTGCAGGCAGACACACGCGGATGATCATGCTATACTATGTGGTCAGTGATTGTGACTTTCAGCAACTGGACAGGCACACAAGCACGTACGGTTCTCACGATTTCTCACGCCTTCGGAAGAAAAGCGCCAACATGAAGTCTGAGGACCGGTCGTATTTCCCTAACTGATGGCCGAGCCCTTGCCTTACAGGCGTCTGTCGGAAGGCTTTTTGCTTCAGGACAAAATCCCAAGTTGTTTAGGGCAATCTTCGATTTACCGGTTGCACTCGCACTGGTCGGCTACAGCCGCCTACGGCACCAGGAAACACCATACTGCCTCTGACATCTACTGTAGGAAACCCACAGGGAGGATGTTTGCACACCGCCTGAATCCTATGCCAACAAGGTGACCGCGTCTTTCCTTTTCCTGGATGCATGCACCGCATCCCAAGATCCGTCGCACTCTCGACTAATTACACAGACCAGTGTCGCGCAGTAAACCCTGCAGATGTACCTTCGCAACATTTCGCAACCCAAGCAAGAGGTTGACAATCGACTTCTGGCTAAATGCCATAAGGGCCATGACATCACGTACAGGAACCACGACTGATCTGGCAAGACCAAGAAAGCCGCTTTGTTTTGCGTGCTCAGTTTAGAAGACTTGTGACCGGCTCATGTGCACGGCGCCGGATTCACAGGCAAGCATCGCAGAGTCACGTTTCCACATCCCCTGCACGCTCAGTACGGGTCGTAACGCTTGCCCTTCCCTTTGCCCTTTGAGCCCTTGCCGGAATCATAGCCACCACCATAGCCACCGCCACCGCCCCCACCACCGCCCTGCAGCGTCACGTTGGTGGCCTTCGTCTTGCCACTTCGCGCATCTTCCTCAATGTCGAAGGTCATCTCCGTACCGACAACCATGTCTTCAGAGCCGCCGTTGGTCAACTGAGAGAAGTGCACGAAAACATCGCCTGAACCGTCGGAGTTCTCGATGAAGCCGAAGCCCTTGCCATCCATAAACTTCTTCAGGGTTCCTGTGTACGCCATGGCTGGGGTGCGGCGCGGTCCTTTACGGGTAGCTGGCAACTAGGCTTGAAAGGCAAGTCTTTTCTCGGTGCAGGCAGACACACGCGGATGATCATGCTATACTATGTGGTCAGTGATTGTGACTTTCAGCAACTGGACAGGCACACAAGCACGTACGGTTCTCACGATTTCTCACGCCTTCGGAAGAAAAGCGCCAACATGAAGTCTGAGGACCGGTCGTATTTCCCTAACTGATGGCCGAGCCCTTGCCTTACAGGCGTCTGTCGGAAGGCTTTTTGCTTCAGGACAAAATCTCAAGTTGTTTAGGGCAATCTTCGATTTACCGGTTGCACTCGCACTGGTCGGCTACAGCCGCCTACGGCACCAGGAAACACCATACTGCCTCTGACATCTACTGTAGGAAACCCACAAGGAGGATGTTTGCACGCCGCCTGAATCCTATGCCAACAGGGTGACCGCGTCTTTCCTTTTCCTGGATGCATGCACCGCATCCCAAGATCCGTCGCACTCTCGACTAATTACACAGACCAGTGTCGCGCAGTAAACCCTGCAGATGTACCTTCGCAACATGTCGCAACCTAAGCAAGAGGTTGACAATCGACTTCTGGCTAGCTACAAGGGCCATGACATCACGTACAGGAACCACGACTGATCTGGCAAGACCAAGAAAGCCGCCTTGTTTTGCGTGCTCAGTTTAGAAGACTTGTGACCGGCTCATATGCACGGCGCCGGATTCACAGGCAAGCATCGCAGAGTCACGTTTCCACATCCCCTGCACGCTCAGTACGGGTCGTAACGCTTGCCCTTCCCTTTGCCCTTTGAGCCCTTGCCGGAATCATAGCCACCACCATAGCCACCGCCACCGCCACCGCCCCCACCACCGCCCTGCAGCGTCACGTTGGTGGCCTTTGTCTTGCCACTTCGCGCATCTTCCTCAATGTCGAAGGTCATCTCCGTACCGACAACCATGTCTTCAGAGCCGCCGTTGGTCAACTGAGAGAAGTGCACGAAAACATCGCCTGAACCGTCGGAGTTCTCGATGAAGCCGAAGCCCTTGCCATCCATGAACTTCTTCAGGGTTCCCGTGTACGCCATGGCTGGGGTGCGGCGCGGTCCTTTACGGGCTAGGCTTGAAAGGCAAGTCTTTTCTCGGTGCAGGCAGACACATATGCGCATGATTGCGAGTGGCTCCGAATTACAGGCTGTCACAGCCTCTTCATGTATCAGTTCCAGTGGCGTGGAGACTGTGCGCACCTCTCAGTGTTTTGGCTAACCCCTGTCCCGGAATACTGTTGAATGTTGAAGACATGGCTTCGTCACGAGCTCATGGGGGTGAGCTTCAGCCGAGCCTGTGGCACCAGGAATTGCCATGCTGCCGTCATACCGCTGAGGGATCTACAGAGAATGGTCAGGAGGAGATTCGCACAGGCTTATGCCACAAGGGATGTGTGTAGCAGCCCTTGGGGATACCTCTCCCATGACATACGTAGGTTATGCAGGGTCTTTGTTGGCACTGCGTTGTTACATGCGGAACTCGTGTTGTAACACTTGTGCTGAGTGACGCGTCTGCCCCATATCTTCCTGAGCACATTTTGCTGTTGAGTGAGTGAGTACATTTTGTTGTTGCCATGCCCTTTTTTGCATCCAGGCCTCTTGAAGACGGCCGGGGAAACACCAAAACCCTACTACAGGGCACTAGACCTCGACGCGGCTAAGTGCCGCCTGACGCTGGAAACTGGCCAGCCAGGATGGCAGCGGAAAGACTTTCTGGGGACTTGGGGTATCGGGGAAGCATTTTATTATATACAGCTGAAAGATCTGATCTGAAGAATACTCCTGAAGATTGCGATGTGATCAACCCCCCCCCCCCCCTACTATAGCGAAGCTGAACGATGATGTCCATTCTTCCTCGGGTTTTCACTGACTCTTCATTTTGTCGGGTGGGGAGGTACTGAATGATTCAGAAGGATGTGCTGCACCCTTCTAAGCTGCAAATTCATACCATCTCGTGGAAGCCCCAGATTGTTCGGCGCTGAAACCAAACGTCCCGTGCAAAAAGGGGGGGGGGGGGACGGGGGGGGGGGAAGAGGCGCCTCGTTGTTTTTCGTTATTTTTGGTGGGGAGTTGACAGGGCTGTGGGATTGCTCCGGATGTGGATACATGCCAGCCGCCCTTTTCCACTGGAGGCGCGGAATACAATAGCACAAATCAGGTCCAGCACCGCTTCTAACATATGAAGAGCCCCGAGATACGAGTACTGCCAAGAAGAGCTCAAGAGCGTCTTGTGGGAGACGTTGCCTCAAACCCTAAACCCCCAACCTGGCAGAACCTATCAGTTCACCCTTCTGGCTCAGCCGCTGCTTCTGCTTTCAAAAGCAGCAGCCCACTGAGATCTCGCTGAGAAGCTGTCTTAGCCTCTGCAGCTTACGCTCTCAACTGTACGAGGGGCCAGGCCCGGTGCGCAACTGAGACCCCCAACTTCCAAATTGAGTTTCATGTTGCTTGCTCTACAGGGTCTTGCTTCTTGAGGATTGATTCTCAGACGTGCCGGACGAATTCAGATCTACATTGCGTGCTGCCCATCTCATTCCGCTGGAAGGGCTATAGGGGGAAGGGGAGGCTGGACGGCAGTCGATGGACCGCAAGCAGCAATTGCATTAGTCCTCACCTGCTTGCTGGGCAGAGTAGAAGTTGGCCTCTTCTCCACTTCCCCTCTGACCCCCCCCCCCACCCCACCCGAGCTGTGGCTTACTGCGTGTCGCGGCTGGCGTGCTCTGATGGCCTCAGGCGAGGCGCTCAGGGCTTTCTGGGTTCCGACCTCCGACTTGACTAGCTAGGCAGCACCGCCCGAAACAAACGACTTCATCCCAGCACAACATGCAGCTGCATCTTGATGGGCCATGCTAAGCAGGAAGCGCAGTCGTCTCGGCAGCCTTTCCGTGAGCCTTCTTCTTGGCAGTGTTGGGCCTGACCACAGGCTACTTCGCTTGGCTGCTTGGCTTCCAGACTCACGGCCTGGGCGACGCAGGCAGTATTTTGGAGGCTGCCCAGCCAAAGCGCAAGTTGACATGGAGGAGGTCAGAATGAGTTGGGTATGTTTGATGCTACTCACACTGCCAGTGGCTAAGCTTTCAGGGGCCAGGACGTGTGGGAGGAGGTTTACGGTAACGGACCCACATTGCGCTTGCTTCGTGGGGACGGCGTCTTCTGGCGTGCCTAGCTAAAGAAATGGCCTGCTCTGAGGCAGCGCCTTGGCCCTTGGCTGTCGACCGCCCACCCAAGTGCCACCCTCGCCACCCACACACACACACACGATGCCACCCAAAATTTGCAAGCCTCTAAGCTCAATACGGCCTCAACCGCTTGAACCTGACATGTCTTGTATTGAACAATAACATTTAGGGTTTAGGGTGACTACTCTTTTCTAGTAATACACTATAATATTGCCTATCCTTCCGCAAAATAGTTCTTGAGACCAGACTTTCGCACCCACAGTGCAGCGGCCTGCCGCCGGCACCGCGGCGGAGCTTCGGAGCCACGACCTTCGGGAAATGGTCCCATGGTGTAAGGGCTCTTTAGGGTTTAGGGTTTAGGGTTTAGGGTTTAGGGTTTAGGGTTTAGGGTTTAGGGTTTAGGGTTTAGGGTTTAGGGTTTAGGGTTTACGTAGGGTTGGGCTGTTTGGGGTGGCTTAGGGGCCCCCAAAATCCCCTTCAACTCTCGGGGCGCTCACGTGTGGAGTTGATGGAGGGGGGTCTTCGCCTCTAAACCCTAAACCCTACACCCTAAACCCTAAACCCTAAACCCTAAACCCTAACCCCCTGCCCCCTTATAGGAAGGCATCTTGGAGCCTCATAAAACCCTACGCCCACCCAAAGCGAAGCTGTCCGTTGGCTTCTGTCTCAGGGCAGGGCGTCACTGAGGATCTCTACCTGTGACACCAGCAGATCTATCCTCAGCGGGGACTCACGGTTGATGCCAAGCAAAGCCTGGAAACAGCTCAAGGTGCTTTTCTGGGCTCAATGCTCAATGCTTCTCGTTAGTATCGTTCGATGGGCCTTAAACTCCACATTCGTAGCAGGAGTAGAGCGATGTTCCCCTCCAAGAAGAAAACAAAAAAACACCACAACCACGGATTGAAGCTGCCCAATGCCTCAAGAGGCTCACGATGCAAGATCAACTTGCTGTCTCTTCGTAGGGAAGCATGCTTCCCTCTTATTCCATGCTGAGGACTGGTGATGGAACTGGGACGCCTGCGAAGCATTTCGGCTTGGAGCTAAACTTGGTGTGGCCCAAAGGGTCCATTTGTACTCTTATGACTCTGAGGAAGTTCAGTGCCCCAAGAAAACATCCGAAACAGGGATTAGGGCTTGGGGCAGCTCCAGGCCAACCATGCCATAACCCTGCCGCAACAACTGCGGCCGCCTACTACAAGTAAGAGCCCCCAAAGTCCAGCTGAGCACGGCCACTTGCTGCTCTCAGCTTTCTTATCGATCTCTGCCGTCAAGTCCTGGATGGAGATGCTCTTAGCGCTTCTCCGTACGGATGTTCGAAGTAAATTCTATGCGTGTATGCATATACAAATATATGTATGCTACCAAATAAACATATGCATATATATATATATATATATGTCTGTGTGTATATGTATCGAGTAGTATAGACAGAGTCCCTTATAAGGTCAGATCGGGCAATGTACTCAACCTCAGGTCTTTAGAACAAAGCTATTGGACCAAAGGCCCTGGAGAGCCCTCCGAGGATAAGGCATACAGACAAAAAAACTTGAGAAAATCCGCATATTGTCTCCAGCCGGTATAGGTGGACAGGGACTCGACGATCAGATCGGAGCTTATGGGGTTTAGGTCTAGGTTTTGTGCCACCCGCCAAGCAAACCAGCCACAGCGGGATAAGGGTTTCGCCGCTCACTCTCGCACAAGGAGGCAAGGCTCCAAAGGACACTCAAGACTGACAAGCCTCTAAGTGGACCAGGGTGTGGGGTTTGGCTCGAGAGGCACGCATCCTCAACATCCTCAACACTGACAGCCTCAGAAAGAGTCGCATGGTCCTCAACACTACGCTGCAGCTCCTCTGCGCTGACCTTGCAATGCTGGAGCGCTGAGGTTCTATAGGATTTGTTTGAAAAACCATGAGCAAGTTTACCCAAGTCCCAAAGCCTTACGAACGAACCCTTGAACTCTTTTTGCAACTGGACCGCGGACAACTGCCAGGAAAAGATACTACCCCCACTCAGCCTGGGCTAAAACCCTGTACGTTGCCCTTTGAACCCTAAGCCCTAAACCTTAAACCCGTTTTTGCATCCGGGCTATGATGTCCTGGCCGGAAACCCTAAACCCTAAACCCTAAACCCTAAACCCTAAACCCTAAACCCTAAACCCTAAACCCTAACCCTAAACCCTAAAGACCCCAGGGGGCTCGTTGGTTGTGTTCCCTGAGTCGAGCGCACATCGGCCTAGCGCGCGCGTCAAAGCGCTGAACTTGCCGTGGACTGCCTCGGACTCCTCAAACAAGGGTTTCACTGAAGCTTGCGAATAGGGTTTAGGGTTTAGGGTTTAGGGTTTAGGGTTTAGGGTTTAGAGTTTAGAGTTTTAGGGTTTAGGGTTTAGGGTTTAGTGTTTAGGGTTTTAGGGTTAAGGGTTTAAGGTTGAATAGGGGGGCAGGGAGTTTCGGGTTCTAGGGACTTGGACTTGGACTTGAAGGCAACTGCGGGTGCTGGACTATGGACGCTGTCGCCACTGTTTAGGGTTTGGGCTTAGGGTATGTTGGGTTTAGGATTTTTAGAGCTCACAGGGGGGTTGGATTGATTTTGAGGGACTTGCAGTTTAAGGGCCCCTGTGCCACATGCCACTGGCCGCAACGTGGAATGCGTGGGCGGACGCAGCTCTTCCTTCCGCACGTGCTTGAATCGGTTCCTCTAAACAAATCAGCGTTTGGGCCTGTAGGACTCTAGGCGAGGGCATGAAGAAACTCAGAGGATTGGAGTCTTTTGGCAGAAGGCCTAAACGCTAAAACCTAGCAGGGCAAACTGCAAGAGTCCCTTGACCTGTTTGAACCCTAAACCCTAAACCCTGAACGCCCTG